ATTTTTTGGCTAACACCAAACCTGAAGACATTCTGGCTTTATTCAAATCATTTCCCAAGGAGACACTTATGATGGGTGTTATTTCTGCACTATTGAACAAAGTGACTTAATGTTCATATGCCTATTGGTTGAGTCCTTCTATAAGTTTCCAGGTATATAAGAATAGTTTTAGGGGGAACTGATCAACTATAAAAATACCAATAATGTGAGTGTGTAGCTAGCTGGTAGCATGCTGGTTAAGGTGGCTAGATCCCACATGGCTAACTCCACGATTTGAGTTCCAGACTGGAAGCTTGAAAAACACACCAGGTGCATGGGCATGCATATCCCAAATCCCAAAAGGATGGAGAAATGGACAAGAAGGGATTGTGGTATCCCATTCCCCAAGGGAAGGTGCCTCCTCACTTTTCTTCTCTTTGTCTCTCTTTGGTGAGCACATACACACTCTGGAATAATTTTTTGAATAAATAAATAAATAAATAAACAAACAAATAAATAAATAAAACTTTGCATTAAAAAAAAATACATATGAGAGGTTTTCTCTCTCTCTTTTTTTTTTTTTTGTAACACTAGCTGTCCCCAGTATAAGGTTAAATTTGCAAAGCATTCTAATGAGGTTAGCTATCACCTGGTTGTACCCACAAATTATTGTATCTTAGTGGTAGATATCTAATTTATAGTAAACTGAACTTTACAAATGTGTTTTTATTTTCCTATATCAAAAATAACTTCATATTTATGGAGCAGCAAAACTCATTCACTTACTCAACATATTTTAGCAAATTACTTTGTGCCAGATGGTGACCTATAGCATAAAAGTAGAACCTACATAAAAGAGTCAAGTAAAAATGATAAAAGCCCTAATATCAGAACTGAACAATTAATTTAATGGGTTTAACTACAAAACAGGACACAAATAAAGAAAATATCAATGAATTTGGGGATAGGTCAATAGGAATTATATAAACTGAATCACAAAAGAAAAAAGAACAAAGATAATTAAACATCAAATAGAATATTCTAGATGTGTGAGTCATTATTGAACAGTCTAATAGTACATGTGATTGGTGTCAAAAGAGGAGAGGAAAAATGGGGCATAAAAAACATTTGTAGAGGGACCAGCAAATAATTTTTAAAAATTGTAGAGATAATGATCAAGATTTTTCCAAAGTTAATCAAAGATGACCCACAAGTCAAAGATTAAAACCTTCTAAGAATTTCCTACTTCCTCTAGAATAAATCCCAAATTCATAATATAAAACCTTACATATGATTTAGGTCTTTTTACCTACCTCTTCAACAGCATTTTCTTGCAGATTTTTCTTATTTCATTTACTCCAGCTGATCTTTTTTCAGTTATTTTTCCATATTTTCCCTTGGTTGGCAACCCTCAATACTCAAATTTCAGTTCAAATGTCAACTTCTCAGAAATATCTTGTCTGACCACTGCCTCTGAAGTCTTCAGCTCCAGCCTTCATTCTCACCTTCCAATTACTTCAATCATTCAAATATTTTGAATTTTTTTAAGATCTGTATCATTATTTGGATTTATCATATTTTTTTTTTCACTATTTCTCCACTTAATAAAATGTAAACTGCCAACAGTTAGGAGCATGGGTTTCTCATTCAACAATGTGTAGCCTCAGACTGTGGCCTGGTAGATAAAGGGGCCAGAATCTACATAGGCTAAGCTATTTGAATTCCACTCCTAGTTTGAAAAGCACTTCATTCCAATGGGATGAAGAAATGGAGGAGAAGAGATTGTAGTGTCACCCTCCTGGTGGTGGGGGGTGTGTGTGAGGGGGGGTGCTTTCTTCCTCTCCTCTCTCCTCTGTCTCATTCTGGTGAGCACACATGCCCACTGACAACAACAAACACATATAACCTTAATGCTCAGAAAAGTATCTGGCACATAGTAGGAGGTTACTGTGCCTGTGTGTATATGTGTGTAGTGTGTGTGTGTGTGTGTGTGAGAGAGAGAGAGAAAGAGAGAGAGAGAGAGAGAGAGAGAAGGGCACTAAAGATTTTAAGGAATTATTGGTCCTGACATTCTGAACTGTTTAGCCCACTTTTGCTAGTGCAGCTCACTCATTCAGCTCATCTGTACTTCCTCTCTCTGGTTCTCATGTCAGCAGGGTAAACAAACATAACATTTTCACCATGTTTTTATTGGGGTAAACACTTAAGTTTGCCCCAGCCATACAGACGTCCATCAAAATCAGACAGAAAAGGGAACAGGAAGTAGAGGGGTTAATTTCCTTTAGACTTGCTGCCTGAACTTACTCAGACTTCTCTTAGATCAGGAGTTGACTTTTTATGACTGATTTTTTTTCAGTTCCTTTTTTAAATTCAATATTCCTTTATTTTAACAACATTATTTTAACAAAATGGTAGCTTTTCATTTTTAAACAGTTGGACTAGACAATGTATACTGTTTTAAAATAAAATAGAAAGGATTTACATCTAACACTATGATTTTAACCCTAAAAAATACTTTCAATGCATATTTTGCTAAAACTAAGAAGCAGAAAGTGTTTAAAGTTCTATCAGTAGGTTTAAAGTGTAATTAAACTAAATAAATCTGAATTATGTGTCACTTCTTTTCAACTCCTGCTTACATTAGATTTTTTATTTAAGATTTTTTTATTTCATTTTCTTTTATACATTCAATTACATTATTTAGTTTAAAAAGTGAATATTCCAACATGTGAACATTTCTCTCTAGTCCAGTAGATAAAGCTATAAAATTTATCTTCAACAGATAATACCACATTTCTTTGTCCCATTAATGCTTTGCCTCCCTACTTTTCCTCTAAATGTCCTTCCTCAGACTCTGCTCTTTCACACATACTATACATGGTATTAACTATCTTTTCTGCTTAGAGCTAAATTAGAGTCAAGGAAGGAAAAATGAACTACTTAAATAAAATAGTATATATTTATAAAGGTCTCAATTTTCCCAACTATTTTATCTCCATAAGCTCTATTCTTATAGTATCCATATGAAGAAAGACATGGGTTAATTTAAAAAAATTTCCAATGAAGCTAGAAAACTATGATTCAGGGCCATGTGGGGAGCACAAAAGACACACGGCGCTCAGTGATGCTGGCTCCATGTGGGAGATCATGGGGTGATTCTTTCCCTGTCAACCTGTATGTAACGGGCACATGTGTCCATGATCCTGACTGGCCAGGGATCCTAGGAGTGGGAGAAAATTGCAATGTGAGACCCTTTTGAGGATGCTTGTCTCTCTCTCTCTTTCATGAATTTTGTATGTCTCTCATTCTCATGAAAGAAATAAACTTAAAAAAAAATAGGTTCAGAGATTCGGTGACATTTTCCAAGATCTGAAAGGAAAATACCTAAGTCCCAAGTACCAAAATTTATCTCCTAACATTCTTCTGCCAAAATTCATTCTAATATTTTGAACTTCTAAGTCTTGAGTTACCTCAAAATGTTTTCATAATAAAGAAAATTGAAATCAAGATATGGGAGATTTCTGAAGGGGAAGACAGAAATAGCAAGAATTAGTCTTATGGTGATAAGGGCAGAACTCAGACCTTAACACTAGAAATTTATATACCATTCGTTTTTAATATGGATAACGTACTGGCTTGTTATCTTGCTTTCTTACAGAAACCAAAATGGCAGAGAGTTGCTCTTACCATTTCTTACATTCCACTCTTCAAAGATCTTAGCATTTTTAACCAGTCTTCCACACAGTTGGCATACATAATCTAAAAGGAAAAAAGTTCCCAAGTTCCCTAAGAAAGAGGAAAGTCGAAGAAATATGTTGATGAAGTTATTTGCTTCAGATGCTGTCTTACTGTTTTTGATTCCATCTGTCTTAATAGTTCTAAAAACTTAATCACTGTCATCAGGAAACTATCATCCCCAACATGAAATTCTTTTGGATCTCCAATTTGCCCCACCTAGTAACTTCATGTCTTTATCAAACTTCTCATTTTATAAAGGAGAACATAAAACCTCCTCAATTATGGCTTCCAGGAGTGATGGTGTGACTGGATAGCACTGTGGTGTTTCTGTTCATGCTCGAAGTTCAACTTGACCCTTTTATGAGTGAGACTCAGCGACTGCCTTGTCTCATGAGATAAGTGCAGGCCATATGAAAAGGAGATAATAACCTCCAACTACAAACTAGTAGGAGAAATAACTCATATACATGTAATACCAAGATATCCATTTCAAAAATCACTTACTGAGAGCCAATTCCATACCTGGCCATGAGCCAAATTTCCTCTTCACTAGAGGAATTCATAGTAAGGAAACCTATTTAAACTATCCAAACCCTGCAAGTGTATTTTCAACTGCAGAGTGTTTATGAAAGTCCTTTGTCATCTATAATAAGATAGGCAAATATTAAGGTACTTTAAATACTGTAATGAATGGGAGATAACCTTGAAATATTTAAAATTTATTAATTAATAACTTATTTTCTGATCTACTTTCCTTAATCTTATCTAAAAGAAATCCCATGAGCCTCTACCCAATAGGATAGCCAACTCAAATTGTTGGATAGTACCAGAGTTTAGAAAACAGTCTTAGACACATGATATACACTTAATAATTCTTGTTCAATAAATGAAAGAAAGAATTATTTGAGAAATAAACTGAGGTAGAAATGAGAGGAAATATGCATAGACAAGGTTTTCTTGCTTTTTTAGGCCATAATCTCATGAGAATGAGTTATGCCCATTCTGATTGCTCCAAATGTGTTCTATATCAAGGAGGGACTTTTTGGTACAAAGTAAGAGCTTGCTAACACTTCAGGATCCTAAAACAGAACTTTTCTGACTGTCTTAGAGGGGAAATGCCTCCAATTTTTTTTCTCTTTTCCTTTCCTTTTTAATTATGTAGTCTTATGTGCTTTCCCTTGTCATGTATGACTGTACAGGCATCCTAGAAGCATGGAAATATTTAATTAGTTCAATAAATAAATCTAGAGACATACCATATTATTTTGGCAAAAGATCTTGTGAGATTAGCAGTAAATGCAGCAATGATGATGCTCAGAGGGGTCATAAGAAAGCTGGACCTGCCACTGATGGTCATACCTGAGGAATGTAGATATAGAGACAGAGATTCTTCTTTGGGCACAGCTAGAATAACTGGAACCTCAGCTAGAATAACTATAGTCATTTCTGAGCATCAATTTCCTAAATTCTAGAGATATATGGAAACATTACATTTGGAAAAGAAGCTGTTGAGACAATTAAATCCCAGGAGAGTTCAGGCTTCAGTCTGAGAAAAGTAGATAATTAAGGACAAAGAATTGCAGTCTCTGGGTCTCAGGGATGGGCCTCAGAAACTTCATAGCTCTCTGGTTTTGACGTAATGCAAATGATAGCCTCAAAAGACATTCCTGAGAAGTAAAAGATAAGCTGGACCCAATACCCAGGCCAATGTTCTAACAGTGCAACCAACTTCCCTGAGAAACTCAACTGGGAGTAGGACGGTTAGAGGCAGTAACTGGAAGGACTCTCTGACTGTAGAGAGACACCTGCCCAGACTCTGACATCTGAATGTCATGACCCAATAACTGCTCCCCAGTTTACCACTGTAGGCAGGATCCAGTAATCCCAGAGCCTTGCCTTCCTCCTTAGTTAATGGAGATGGTGGCCACAGTTCCTGTCTTGGTCCTGTTGAGTGGTTACGTACTGCCAGCAACCTAGGATACACCGAGTAGTTAAGTAAGCAGTAGTTACTTAATATTAATGCAGTTGTTGCCACAACTCAATAATACATTAACGATAGACGTTTCACAGGAGAGAGCTGGATTTAATGGCAGGAGAATTAATCGGAGTGGTGCCGTGACTGAAGAACAGCAAAGTGTCTCCAGTAGTGCTGGTGATAGAGGTCTGCAGGGAACCAGGTGTGGGCAAAAGGCAATCTTTTTTTTTTTTTTTTTAACCAAATAAGTACTTCTGGTCAAAGAACATTGTTAGGAGTCATGCTAGAGGTGAAGTTTTTCATCCATGGAAAGACTAGGAGTGAGATTTGACTCCAATATCTATTACATTAGCAGCAACTTTCTTGGAAGCATGAATGATAGGTCACCTTATGGTTAGAGCTTTCTTTTTCATTGTTATTGTTTTCAGTTTATTTATATCTCCTTCAAGAGTGAGAGAGACACACAGAGAGACAGACAGAGAGAGAAACAGCACTATCCACAGGGTTCTGATGCCACAATCCACTCCCAGTTTCAGTCAGCCCTGGGTCATGGGCACACAAACACCCAAAGAACCTGACACCTTCTGGTATGAGTCAGTCTGACAGAACATTGAATTCAGTGGTACTGTTGGGCCACCATTTAAGAGCTTTATTACTATTATTATTACTATAATTATTATTAATTTTCTGTAGGGTGTGTGCACTCACTGAAGAAAGATGGAGAGAGAAAATGAGAAATCACCCCCTAGGGTGATGGGTCTGTCACTATCCCTTCTCCTTCATTCCCCTCTCAGAATTTTGGACACACACACACACACACACACACACACACACACACCAGCATGTTTTTCAAGCTGCCAGGTCCAGGACTCAAACCACACAAGTCAGCCATGTGGGATCCTGCCAGCCTACCTACTGTGCCACTGGCTAGCCCAAGCCTTCTTTAAGTAGGGAATCCATGATCAAGGTGATTCTAGAACAAAAGGCTTAAGATGATTCTAAAAGGACAAAGAACCATAGAATTCTAAGATGTGAATATTCAAAAATAAACCAAATGTACTGGGATTTATTAAAGAAATGTTTAAAGGAATTCAACATAGAATACAAACTTTTTCTCTGCCAATCAACAGCCTACCATTCAAAGAAGGAAAAAAAGTTTCAGTAATGTATCAAGTTTAGATTATTTATGGAGTACTAGGAACCATCACTATTTGAACATATATCTTATTAAGCTTGTTTTTTTAATTTAAATTTATTCATTTTCTACATTAATTCACTATACACCATCACAACACACAAATGAATTTTCCATCCAAAATACACTGTGTATTGGCTCAATCAAGCACATCAACATACGTGTTATTGTCAACAAATAATTTTCCATTTCTTGTTTCCTGTATATTTTGCTTTTTTTCCCATCCTTGATTCCCTATCTCTCATCCTCTGCCATCTCCCACCCTCCTCCCATACTGTCTCTGGTATCCATGGTTGCTTTCTATGCCCTTTCCCCCCACATTTTATTGATTCACTAAAGATCTTAATTAATCTGATTATTTTTTAAGAGAAAGCGCAGCTGATATATACATATCCATGAACAGAAGTCTGACTGTAGGCATAAAACTCAGTGAGTAGAATGAACATACTATAAAGTAGCACCTAGCTGGGGCTATATAGCTTACTGAAGTCATCAAATAGGTACTTTTAATGCTTTTTTTTTTTAATTTCAAGAAAAACAGTTTTAGGGTTTTTTCCTGAAACTTTTTTAAATTTAATTAATTTATATTCATTCCCTAAGCATCATAACAGCATACAAAATGTGATTTCCCATCCAGAATATACTGCATAGTGGCTTAATCATGCATGTTATTGTCAATAGTTTTCCATTTCTAGTTTCATATATATGTGTGTGTGTATGTGTGTGTGTATATATATATGTGTGTGTGTGTGTGTATATATATATATGTGTGTGTGTGTGTGTGTGTGTGTGTATATATATATGTTTTTAACTCCTATTTCTGACCCTCTGTTTTCTACCCTCCTATACTGTAGGTTCTCCAAAGGCCTGTTTCACTTCTGCTATATCTTTAACTCCTTTCAGTGAGCATTTTTTAAATACTTGTTATGAGCCAGGCACTCAACTAGTGCCCTTCTGGGACTTCATTGGTAAATGAACAAACAGTTGGGATAATTGAACAGTCTCAGCCTACTTCCTTTGGTTCTTTTTCTGGTGGTCTTCCAAATGGTTTCTATAAAAAAAAAATCCATCCTAGAAAACACACATATATATACACATACTTTTTTGCCATGTCTCACCTTAGATAACAGATTCCATGCTATAGCTTATATGGCTACAACTGAAAAGCCACCGAGATCTACTAAAATAACAACTACATCCTAACCACACATAAACCATAGCATTAAAAAAATTTGTTTTTGCCAGAGAGCATGTGTGCTCACCAGAGAGAAATGGAGAAAGGAAAGAGAGTACCCCCAGTAGGACATGGCCATGCAACAATCCCTTCTCCTTCATTTCTCCATCCTGTTGAAATTTGGGGCATGCACACACATATCCCTGGCATGGTTTTTAAGCTACCAGGGCTGGGATTTGAACCTCAGTCAGCCATGTGGGATCCGGTTCCTTAACCACTAGGCCATTGAGCTGGCCCCAAAAATGTATCCTTACATCCTTTTATAAAGAAATATGATTTGGTCATTGCTTTGTCAACTAAATTTTAAGCTCCATCAGTCTGAAGTTTATTTTATGACTTTATATCCAATATCTTGCATACAGTAAGAACTCAATCATTTGTGTGTGTGTGTGCATGTGTGTGTATGTATGGGCCAGATTCAAATCTGTATTGTGCATTAATTTCATACCATAAAAGATGTATCATGCTCTATAAGGAAAGAATAATAATTTTTTAAGAAAAAAAATCAAGTCAAATATTTCAGAATTCCCACAAAAAATCAACAGCTATAAAAGCTTAAACCTTAAATCATATACCTTAAACAGTACAGATTAATTAGTTGGGCCTCACCAAATGACATTTGTCCCCATATTTCCCATAAAGTCTCAATTTCCATTGCCTTTTTTTTAGGATGCCACGAAAATACAAAGCAGCTGAAATAAATTATGAGTCCTTTTGGGGCAGGGGAAGAAAAAAATTTTTTCCCCAGGGAAACATTTGTAATAAAGTTCCTCTTTCTATTTGAAACATTTTCTGAGTTGAAGGCCTGCAATAATTTCACAATCACAGTGGGCAGGGAAGACCGGTTTTGCAGAGTAGTGGGTGAGTCTTTTTTACAAATTAGAAAATTATTTGGTTCTGTTTAAGAATCACTCAATGGTTTACAAAATGTTAGTTCCTCTTGGCTATTTCTTCTCAATGTTCCTGTGCATGGACATGTCTAAAAATACACTCCAAAAATAGCAATACAATTATAAGATTTTCAGATATTTAATATTACCAGTGATACAATTCATGTGTTTGTTAATCAGTAAACTGAACCTATTATACCATGTCAGACTTCCAGGATTTTCGAAGTATAATTTTTAAAATGTTAAACACTTAATTCAGGGTCAGTTAGAGGCATGGTGGTTAGGGTGGCTGGACCCCACATGGCCAACTGCACAGTTAGGATCTCAGACACGGGGCTTAAGAAAAATACACCAGGTACGTACGTGTGTGTGCCAAAAATCCGGAAAGGAGAAGAGAGGAGGAGGTAATGTGGCATGACCATACCCCCCTAAAAGGTGAATTCTCACCCTCTCCCTATTTTCCTCTGGCAAGCCCACAGACCCTATAGCAAACAAACAAGAAAATTTAACTCTTACACAAATATATAGTGATGATGTGCCTAAGACTTTTTAACTTATCAGTAAGAGAATCAGCAATAATGACAAGGCTGGTCCAATTTGAGAACTGATATGGATATAGCCAGTGGAAAGGAAAATTACGGAATAAGATTATAGATTTAGGCTCCACACTTGTTAATGTTCTACAGGACAATAAAGCCACAACTGTTTGGATTGCTTGTTAAAAATTCTGAACAGAAATCATTTGCAATGTATCATTTTTCCATAGTTTAATATCTAACTTTACAAAGTCTGGACTCTATTTAGACAATGTTACATTCTCCCAAGTGTCAGGTGATCCTTAGATAAGCGTATTAAGTGGGCCTACAGTAATCTTCTTTTCTTCATCTTCAAAATTTCGGTAGTTTTTCTTAGTGATCTTAGAGAAAGATTCATGAAAGCCCAGAATTCTCTAGCAACAAGTCTCTGCTCTTATTTTCATTAATCTGGTTTAGTTGGCATTGATATTTCATGGTAGAGATCTTGGATAAGGACAACACAACAGGAAAGCTTCGCTGAGAAGTCCCCTGCTCCCTAGTAGCTGTGTAAATGCAGATACTAACATTCAACCGAAGTTAACTCAGGTAAAAATTAAGGGGGAAACAGAACCCAGCCGCCTTCACAGCTCAAGGATCTCCTGGGATGATGCTGTTAATGTCTGTTAGTGCTGAGTGGTCTCAGCCTCACCTCACCCTCTCCCATCCCCACTGGGTTTCCTGCCCATGCCCGCTAGTGGTGGCCTCTGCACTTTCTAGGACCAGGCACCCTGCTTCCACTAAATGACCTCTCTAACCTTACTGCATATTCTGGCCCTGTTTTTGCCCTCTGATTTTATGGTTACATTTATATTCCATTATAACTAGTATAAAGAAATAGTACAGTTTTTTTTCTTTTTTTAAAACTTTGGACAAAGACCAGGGGCAGTTCTCTCATCTCTTAATTTTTCAGTTCACACCAGGACCTGTCCTGATTGTCACAGATACAGCACCAGATCTTAAATTCTTATAATCCACTAGTCCTTCACGGTCTGTTAAGGAGACAGAGAACACCTAGTCCTTTAGAACTAGAGATCAGAAATGAGCCTGGTCTCATTTCCAGCAGTTAGTGTAATGGCTATGTCGCTGGACTCCCACGTAGTCGACCGTGGTTTGCGTCCCGGACCCGGTGGCTTAAAACTCACGACGGGCGTGTGTGCGTGCATGCCCAAGATCCCGAGAAGAGAATGGAGGGGAAGGGATTGCGGTGTGACCATCCCCCCTGGAGGGTGATTTCTCACTTTCTGTCTCTCTGTCTCTTTCTGTCTGGCGAGCACACACGCCCTATAGCGAAAACCTCTCAGAAAAAAAAAAAAAAAAAAAAAAAGAAATGAGCCTCTTCTCAAGGTATTTAAAGTAAGATAAAGAAAAATGGGAAAACTAAAGTGATGCACTAGCCTTCACTTTTTTAAACTAGTATTAAAGAACATGTGTACAAGTCAAGACAGAGAAAGTTTAAAGCCAAGATGTGTTTATTAGGAGGCAAATAACTGGCACCCACTGGGGTGGGGGCTTCTTGGAGTATGTAGCTTATCAACCCCCCTGGGAATGCTGTGTCCCTTGTTCTATAGCCATCTGAGTCTTATTCTTAAGACTTAAAGGATCTCAGATCCTTAAGAAGCTTCTAGTCATTTTCCACAGTCTGCTGTAGTACTCTTTGCAGGGATCAACCAGCTGGTATTGTGCACATGTTACATGTTGTCATAATTCTTTGCTTAAAGGGCCAGCAGGGGTCATGTGCTGCTCAAGAGAAGCCAGATCCCACATGGCAACTGCAGTTCAGATCACTGGACCAGTCAGTCTGAAACACTCTGGGCACACCCACACGAATGCTCTGGACCCAACAATCTGGACCCAGATCTTGTGAAGGATGCTCCTCTCACCCTCTATCTCTCTCATTCACTTTCATGTGCACATGCATGAGTTCTATGATGAATAAAGAAAAAAAATTGTAATTCTTAGTTTGAAGCATGATTCATAACACCTGAACAGGTAGCAGAGATCACATGGTCCTGGTCGTAATTCTCTATATATTATACCCTCACTGCCCTGTACTAGAAGCAATACA